CAGACAAACAGAAGCAATAATTAAGAATGCTGAGGGGTGGCAAAATCAAGGAGCCCAAACCTAAAACACTTGAATACTACAAAATTGTGAAAGATTTTGACGGAAACTATGAGCTTATGGTGGATGCTTTGAAGTGAATTTCATAATAAATAATAATTTTCTGCAATAATATTATTATGAAATTGTTAGAATTATTTAGAGGAACGGGTAGTGTTGGAGCAGTCGCTAAAAAACTTCACTGGAATGTGACATAAATTGTGATATAATGGATTGGGACTACAAATAAATACCATCAGGGCATTTTGATTTTATCTGGGCATCGCCTCCCTGCACCGAGTATTCAGTGGCAAAAACCGTTGGGGAAAGAAAGATTGAGGAAGCAAATCAAATAGTGTTGAAAACCTTGGAAATAATTGATTGTTTCAAACCGAGGGTTTGGTTCATTGAAAAGCCACAAACAGGGCTATTGAAGAAACAACCGTTTATGAAGGATTTTGAAAGACCTTCCAACTGATAGGTTCTGTTTCCCATAATGTCTAATTTGATTTTTTCAACTTTGTAGGCCTTTTTCCGACCAACGCCTGTTATATAGTTTCTTTTCTGTTGATGTACTTGTCCTTCTTCTTGTGAAAGTATTTTACCGTGTCTCCTTCTTTTATCTCTGGATATTTTCTCCTGTTGTTTTCTCTCAATGTAGGATTAACCCTTACTGTTGAATTGTTCTCGTCCTTGTGTGCTTGTTTGGGTGTCATCTTCGTTGATGAATGGACTGTAGTGCTGTATTTGTTGAGTGTAGGTGTCAGCATTGAAGTCCAACCCGCCTTGTTAAATATCACCCTGTCAGGTATCATATTATTCATCGTCCTGATAAAGCGTTCCGCTACGTTGGCGTGAGTTTGTGTAATGATGATGTGTTTAATCCCTTCATTTTCAAAGAACTGCTTTACCGACGATTGAAAGTTGATGTCGTTGTCTGAGTATATTGACATTGGAAAGCAAATTTTCTTGAATGCTTGTTTCAACGCTTTTAGGACGCTTTCGCTGTTGAGTTCTTCTAATGGTATGACATCAGCGTATATACTAAAAATGTCAATGACAACTAAGGCTTGTCTCGGCTCTCCTTTTTTAACTTTTATATCTACCTCTGGCTTGGGCTTTGATGCTAATGGTGTCATAAACATTATGTCAATTTAATATTCAAACCTTGTAAATGGAGCAGTGTAAGAATTACAGTAGTCCCTTTGTAACCCTTAATCTGTTTGTTGGGTTGCTTACTCATAAACTTTCGTACATCGTCTAGTATTATTTCTATGTCTTGTGCCTTCGCTTTCTTATATGTCTCTTGGATTGAACCGAAGCCTCTTTCCAAGTCGTAATATACATTGCTGATAACTTGGTCTTGTGTTAATCTTCTTGCCATTATATTAAAGTATTAGAGTTTAAATAATTATGAAAAGTTAAAAATATGCTTAAAGAAATAGTCCCAATATATAGCAAGAGAAAATAAGATGACTAAATTTGCTTGTGGATGTCGTATAATGTCAGAAGGTATCAACTTGAATAGTGGTGACTACAAGAGACCTAATTGGAATTATTTGTTACAAACCTTTGTTAATGTATGCGGTAAGTGTGGTAAGAAACAAATGAAATTCCAATATATGGAAAACAAACTTTTAGAAATGGAAAGGCAACGAATGGAATTTTTTTTATGAACTTTAAAGATGAAGACGATAATTCAAGCATTGAGTTTGACAATGACAATGACGATTGGGAAAATAGTAGCGAATTTGAACCGATTATGTGGATACACAAGAACCATTCTGATTGAAATTTGAAAAACTAACCCGACCCCTGAAAACTGAAAGAGACCCCAAAAAAAACTTAAAGAAAAATTACCTATATATAGTAAGAGAAAATATGAGGTGCTTACAAAATGAAATCTTTGAAGAAATGAAAAGATGTAAGGAATGTCAAAAAACAACAAAGGAAGAAAGAGAACGAAATAGAAAAGAACAAGGGATATTAAGAAACAGTCCAGACTTCATTTCTTGTAAAAAGTGTTTGAAACTCAATGTTTGGATTGATATGTCAATCAACCGCCCAAAACCTGAAAACTCAACGCAAATGGATGACAACATCGGTTTATTCACCATTCTTCACCACTTTCCTAGACTTCAAGACCTGAGACGAAAAATGATGAATGAACCCGAATATGAAGAACTTAACATTGAAAGAAAACAGAACTACAACTATCTAAAATATAAATACTAACAGCTATGCTTCAAACCGTTCAGACCATTTAAAACTAACGAACCTGGAGAAGTTGATGATGATACATTCCTTGCCTATGACCGATTGTTTGTAGAAATATTGAAATTGTTAATATTAGAAAGAAAACATTTGTTGAAATCAAAAGTGATATTTAACGAAGACTTTTTAAACACAATGATGGAGTACCTCATACAGAAGAAAAGACTATTATTCACTTATAAAGCAAGTTGACAAAACCAGACCCAGAAGAAGAACCCTAACAACCTCAACCAAACCTGAACCAATGAATAATCACCCAACAAAATAATCAACAAGGTAAGGATGAAACGTTTTGACTAAAATTGTCCTAAAATACCCACAACAAAAAACGAAACAACCACGATAAAAATGTTTATAGTCAACATGAAAACATAACAACCAACAATCAACCAAAACTGTCTTACAATCCCTGTTTCCCCATTTTTTCCCAGTGCCCAAATCCATAGTGGTTGATTTCCCAAATAGGCTCTGGTGGCTTCTTACCATAGGTTCACAGACTTGGGTCCAAAGCCAAAAATTAGTGGATTTCAGGGCCCCCTTTTCGTGAGGAATCATCCGAAATTTCTTGGGTCAGGATGAACAAAGAATCTCTTTCGTCACTGAAGGATTGCGTTTTAGGTGTTTCAGTTGCCCCAAAAAAAAGAACTTTCTGCGGACAGACCCAGAAATTCTTGGACCTATCGACTTCATAATATCCTGAGAGTTTGACCTCATTCAATCATTGTCGGTTGTTTTGCTTGGACCATAGAAAAACTGGGGTCCTGAGAGGACACCAGATGCATCTGCAGCATCATCATGATCATTGCAAGAGCTGCCATTATGGTTGCCATTGAAGAATACGACGAGAACGTCTGCTACCTCCTATTGGCCAGTTTTCCTTGAGGCAAAACAGCTTCCATCCGCCAAGTCAACGAAAACAGAATGATACCCCGCTCTGCAAATGCGGGTATTTCCAAAAGATGTTGCTATGCCATTGGCGTTTCCCACTGAAAGCAGCCATGTTCAGTGGGTGTCCCACGACCAAAGGATGCCCCCGAACCATGGCTTTGTCCTTCCACAACCAACGATTTCCCCCTAAAAAACCCATTGCAGCGATTTGCAGCGTCTGTGTGCATGTTTATGGTTATACATGGTTATACTAGCTCCTGGTGCTGGCAATTGTTGATCCATGTCATTTGAGAACAGCATGAATCACAGGCAACATTTTCTGATGCCACATTGTTTCGATTTGTTGCCACGCCATTTGTGTCTGAGACTATGAAGGGGAGACAAGGTAGGAGACAAATGGGAGACCAGTGGGTAAAACACAAAGAAAAATATGGTGAAGCATGATTTTATCTTGAGGCAACAGGAAGACACAAAGGGAGTAAAGAACAGAGACAAACCCGAAGCACGAACGAAATCATGATGAAACTAGAACAGGACACTGCCACTAAGGCAGACATATGATCCGAGACAAATGAAGTAGGAGACAGATGGTGAGAGACAAATGACAAGGCGATAAAGCCAGACACCACAAAGGCAGACCCGTGATTGGAGACAAATTAATTGGGAGACAAACAAGTTGGGAGACACATGGAAAGAGACACCTGATGAGAGAGAAGTGAAAGCAAAGAAAAGACATCCGAAGACGAGCCGGATACCACTAGACAGAGCGGGAGACAAATGAAGGGAGACAAGTGAAGAGAAACATCCGGAGACCCGGACAACACTAGCCAGAGAGGGAGTTAAATGATGGGAGACAAGGAGAGAGAGACATCCGAAGACCGGGGCAGCACTAGGCATTCCGGGAGAAAAATAATTAATTAAAGGGAAAAGAGTAAAGAGAGACATCCGGAGAGCCGGACACCATGAGCCAGATTGGGAAACAAATGTAGGGAGACAAGTGAAGACAAACAGCCGGGCACCACCAGCCAGTCAGACTGGGAGACAAATGAATGTTGAGACATCCGGAGAGCCGGACACCACCACGTGCAGAAACCCGGACACCTCTTAAGAAAGAATTGAGAACCGGAATGGATGAATTCGCATTGGTTGTCTAAGCTAAACAAATGTAGGGAAGGAATTTCAAGGAACAGCTGTTCCCGAATCCAGAACCCTTTCAGATGTGACCTGAGTTGGGGTCCACAGCCAAGGTTCGTAAGCAGGGCCGGATACATGAAAGGTGCAAGAAATCCGGTCTCTGCAATCAAAACGGATCGTGGTGGGCTGCTTACGACCCGTCATATGTCGGAGGGCATCCGATCCAACGAGCAACGTGCAGAAAAGTCTAGTGCCGTCAACTGACACAGATTCTTGAACATAAGCACTGAAGCAAGGCAAGTCAAGGTGAACTTGGGTCTAGTTCAACGCCTGATGCTTGTATACCGTATCTTCCTGCACATATCACTGGGACGGATCGCCTGTTGAAGGTAGCAGGCTTGGTCGATTGCCAATGCTCGTTTGCTATGAGTGCCGTCCTTGAGTGGCCAAAGTCTGGAAAGCGGAAACCCACAGATCACTTGAGGCAAGATCTCGGACACAGGAATCCAGAGTGGTGACGCCCACATACCCGGTTCATGGACAATAGCGAACAACATCGGAAAGGACCGGACGAAAGAAAAACGAAAAAGGCATGAGGGTGTGACACTGCTCAACTCTCCTCTCAACTGATGGTTCTACATGGTTCTACTATGTTTTATACTAGAAGTGTTTCGAGTATGGTCAGCGACCCTGCACAAACGACGGTGTGATGCAGCTGGCGGACGACTCCGCTTTTGGAGGCGTGTGCTCGCAATCTGATCAATCTGGAACATGATATAATACAAGCCCACGGGGCAGCGTTGAAAGCAACATCAAAACTCTGACTGGCCTAGCTAGCTCTGTTTTCAAGACGGAATTCAAAACAGAGTTGAAACGGCCCATCTGACATGAGGTCAGACCTAGGCAGAGATCAATGCAGCGGCACTCAGGGCATCTTCTTCTCCACCTCCACGGCAGACATCGTAGACGCAGTCGCTGAAAACTTCTGCGTGATCGTCATCTTTCGGGAGGTGTTTGGCACAAATCTTCTCCTTGGACGACTTGAATCCAGTGGGTCACTGGAGATCACAACAAGATGTGATTATCGGGTTCTCATTCGCTGATTTTCCCTGTGCGGCTGGCCTGTCAGAGAATCCAAACATGACTTAAACATAGACTTGACACATCAGACATTACGTTGGAGGGTTAGGGGTCTGAGAAGAGTTCCCTTTGACAATTTGACAGGTTCAGATTGTGGAGTTTGAAGGGCCTCTACAAATTTTCCACACTTAGACGTATTCAATCCCATGCCAATGGCGTTCCAGGTGTCCGCTTCTTGCTCTTTGGCTTCCGTGCAGGTCTGGGTCGTCTCGGTGCCGAGCAAAACCATTCCAGCCTCTTGCTTCAACTTCAAGAAGTCTGCTGCAGCCTCACTGCCACCCAATGAAGCCCAGCTGCCAACCTGTCAGTTGTCAAGGACATTCTCCTGACTTAAAGCAACCTGCTGTCATGTTGCCCATACGTCATGAAAATCTAAGCAATACTGATACTAAGATACCAACCAGTGGAAGAACATGTCAGTGATGGTCAGGATACCAAAAAACTCCGTTCTAGTCCTCGACTTGCAACTGTTACTGTTCACTTCTGTTTTGGATCTGCGTTCCTATTTACAGATTTCTGAATTATAGCTCAAATTTGTTGATCCTTTTTGCGTCATAGGAAAGTATTTCTTGCCTTTTTGCTAAAATTTTCCAAACCATCATCCTGCTGACTCCTGACTCTAGCACTACAAATCTCGCTGCCGCTGCCACCCTCGAATATCCCGGATCACTAAGCCACTAAGCAAATCCGGCAGTATGATCCTGTTGGCCTTTTGGAAATTGAGGTCTTTCCACTTGTTTCCATCAGTGCAACTCCGAAACCATTCTCCCACACCATAAAACATCTTAGAATTTTAAAACAATTTGGAAAGTTCCATGTGGGATCCGGCAACACCAGCTGGTTGAGTTTCAGGTCGAACGTTTTTTGCATCCCAAGCTTTGCCTGGAACTCGGTATCCGTCTGCATCACCATGGAGCTGAGTTTGGTCGACAAAAGGCTCAAGTGGTTGTTGTTGCGTGGTGCACTTCCAAGCTCTCCTCCCACATAATCCAAATCTTTCGTATCAAACATCTTCACCTTGAAATTCAAGTACTTTTTCGGGCTGCAGTGCGTCAGAAGCCTAGCCACCTTCCGCACGCCTGATTTCTCTGGCTCCGACATCTGCAAAACCATCACCGACTCCAAATTCAGAGGATCACGGGTGTGTTTATGAACTTCCTGGACGTCCTGGGCAAGGAGACGATGATGTGACGGTGATGTGACGGCGACAGGAATGATGCATGTTGAACGTGTGTAATGTTGTTTGTTTTCCCGTTGGACATGTCCAAACATGCCCAAGCCCCTGCAAAAAGAGATTACACCAGCAAGAGACCCCAAACAGTGTGGTGGATAAGATATCAATGTAGGAGATACAAGCAACAGTACCTATACGGATGCCGTAGATCAAACTTGATATTTTCGTAACTGAGGCAGCAGGAATTTCTTCTGTCACAAGGAGCAACATTATGTCCTACTGACCAGGATTTCACTTGGGTCTCCACAAGATCTTCTTACAAGGACCTGTTAGGGGATTTCATAAGGATCTCTGCAAGATCTTCTTACAGGGACCTCTACACGATCTTGGCACAAGGCTCTTTTGCAGATCTGAGAGTTCTCACAAGGACCTGTACAAGATCATGCAAGGCCCTCTTGGAGGATTTCACTTGCAATTGGATCTTGACAAGATCTTCTTACAACCACCTGATTTTCTTGAACACAATGTGCACACATGTCCACAAGACATCTTCCTTTACCTCATTACCTGACTTGCCTTTCATTACTGATACGCATCAAACTGCAGCAGCTCTTTTTTGGACGCTGTGGTTTTAAGTCACGTTCGCGATGCCAAACGGCTGGGGGTAGGCTACACGACAGTGATTGTCGCGACCCAGTCGGAAGTTTGACAAATAAATGCGCTGTCATGTCAACCGCCGCAATGTCCGTAGATGTCAAGAGCAAGGAATCTTCCGTATCGGCGGACAGAATTTTGAAGGCTAATGCGGATTTGCAGCAACTGATGCCATCCGGTAGCTTCAAAATATTCGATTGTACTCTGAAGACTGCAAGCTGCTACACGTAACTGGTCACTTGCCCGACGATGATCTTGCTCTAATGACTCAGCCATGGATTTTAACATCCAACACATATCATTGATGCGGGCAATGTGGGTATCTGTGGGAATCAGAGGTGCCAGCAACTCCTGCAAGCTGACTTCATCTTGGATGACATCGTGGTCTGACAGGTCTGACATGGCACGAATTGATACGCAAAGTGCAAAATTACAACCGGAATCAACTGAGAAAAGCGGAGTTGAACATAGAATCAAGTTACAATCACTGAGAAGGGTTGAAATGGAGAGCACTTGCTCTAATTTGCCCTTAGATTGGAGGCATGTGTGTTTGATGAGGGTGGGGGTGAAAACCGGTAGGGATGAAAAATTGACACAAAAAGAAAATTGATGACTTTGTTTAACACATGTCACAACCTGGGATCTGATCCTCAACATGGTTGTGCAAACAAAACCCTGAAAGTCCTCAGTGACATGTGTTTTGCTGAGTCACTTGACGCCAGCTACGAAACAAAAATATCACCGACAAAGTCACCATGATCACGCGCCTGTTCCATTCCACAAAGTTTACTTGCCATGCTAATCTTCAATATCGTTCCTTCACCTCAACGTTCAGAAGAAAATTTTCTCAATTGATGCAAATCGTCAAGACATGCGTTGCACCGTTCACCAAGATGCACTCTGTTGGTTTCTCCGAAATAATACCCTATCATGTTCCATGAGTCGTGTCTTATCTTTCTTGAACCCAACGTGCACACATGTCCACAAGACATCCTCGTCTACCTCATTACCTGACTTGCCTTTCATTACTGATACCCATCAAACTGCACCAGCTCTTTTTTGACACTGGGGTTTTAAGTCACGTTCGCGATGCCACCCCTTGAAGACTGGACGTGATTGCCAAAGGTGATGCACCTCGCATCTGGTACGCTGAAGCCCCCGGAGACTTTCCACGACCTGGACATTGGGTCGGCGGGGGCACTTCGCTGCAGCTGCCGTTTCCAGAGAAACTTTTCAGGAAGGCCCCACGAACGGCCCCACTGTCTGTGAAGGCGACAACCTGTCGGCAACCTGTCTGCCATTCAGGCAAGCCTCCCAGGTTTGAACTCCACTAGGAGGGCGAGGGTTTCCAGTTCCTCGCCAACTCAAGGATAGCCCTTTCCGCGCTGCACCATTCGAAGCATGTGACTCTCGAGGAGCCACTTGGATCTGGCACTCCTTGCCCCATTCTTTGCCTGCAGCTTCGGCCAATGCCCTGATCGAAGGCTCAGCGTCCGTCATCAAAATCATTTTCTGGTGTCCTGTGCTCCTCAGCCCCTCAGTGACCAGATGTACGGCGTACTTGTCAACACCTTTGTTGACCACACCTGCAAAGAAGCAGCCTGACTTTTCATCTGTGATGACAAGTACTGGCAGCGCTCCTTCTTCATCATCTTGAGCCTGTTTCAATTCAGCCACTGTCTCTGTCGCTTCCCCAGGGGGGTTGCTGATATACCTACCCAAAAAGCAATCATCCATGCTGACTCGTGGGACTTCGGATGGGTTTACTCCTTCAGGACGTTTGAAGTGACCATCCTCTCTGACCTTGGCTTTCATGCAAAAGTCACACCACGTACGTGCCGGAAGGTGTGTCAGCATGTGAATGTGGAACTCTGCCTTTGAAACGTGATCTGGGATTTTCTTTGCTTGGGTTTTCTTGTATCTTCTGAAACTTCTTCAGGGGGTTCACCTACTGGCGGGAGAGGCCCTTCAACTACTTCCTGTGGTTGGGGTCCTCAACTACCACTTCTACGCCACCCTCACCTGATGGCGCGCCTTCCTCAGTGTAGGCTTCAGCAGGCACTGTTTTGGCTGCTGGCCTCACAGCGGCGCGAACATCATGAGTGGAGCTTCCCACATCATGACCAGCGGTGCTACCCGCATTCGTGTTGGTGCGCTTTAGGGGTTTGATGGGTAACCAAAACACGCCCCGGCTTTTCTTGAATGGAATTGACGGGGTCCTATCCAGGATGTTTTTCAAATCCCTTGCGTTGTTGTCTTGAACAAGTGCGTGAAACTCAGGACAATGACTGTCCAAACTCCACATCGCGCAGCTTGACCAGCTGACAAAACGCTGAAATTGATCTTGTCTGATTCACAGTATTCAACCGAAAACTTCGTACCATTGTTCACTGCAATCACACTTTTCTTCTTGAAACCGGTGTCCACAGTTTCCCCTGTTACAGTGACCATGCCACTACTTGAGCCCTTGGTTTTGGTAGTGGCGTTTGGGTCAAAATTCTTTTCAAACAAAGGGGACCCGGCTCCAGTGTCAACCAAAACGTGTTTGCAGGAACCGCTGAGTGCAGCTATCAGATCTGGCAAAGTGCCATCCACGGCTGCTGATAAGGGTTCTGGCTCATCATCGACCTTTTTGCTTTTCCGCGGCACGGCATTCCTGATGACGTGGTCTCGAATGTTGTTGTCCTGGATGCCGTTGATGAGTTGATGATGATTCCCATCAGCATCTCGTCATCAATGCTTTTGCTGCTTTCTTCTTCATATCTCCGGATGGTTTTCTCGAAGGCTTCCAATTCTGCTTCGGGATCGTCACCAGAAAATCTGGTGCTGAGGTTTAGGCTGAGTGTGCCCACGAACCGACTGGCTACACGGAGGTGAAACATTTCTTCCCGTCTCATGGACTCAGCACCTTCACCAGGACCTGTGTTCTGAACTACGTCCAGGGCCCTGCCTTTCACCAACATCACCAGGATGTAGCACAGCTGAGTTGACAGCTTCCTATCACCAGCGATCCTGTCCAAAAGATCTATGTAGTCAGGCGAGATGCACGCCAAGTAGCTCTTCAGGACAAAGCTCCAATCACAGTACTCGGACGGGTCGCTCTTGAAGATCTCTGGTTTCCCCAAAGTTCGGGTGTCCACGATGGGGTTGAAGGATGAGGATGCACCCTGGTTTGACACCCTCAGCCACTCATTTGCGGGGATCATCCCGCTCAAGTCCGACAGTCTTGAATCTCTTCTGGCCTGACTCATTTGGTTGAGTTGCGTTTGCTGAGCTTCAACCTGCCCAGCCAAGGTCTGAATTGCCGCTCTTGCTTGAGCCAACTCACGCAACAACTGCTGTTGCTGAGGCTGACCCTCCAGGTCCCCCCCGGAACTGGGGTCGTCCCCGCTGAAGTCGACATCGCTACCTGGGTCGGCTTCTTCTTCTTCTTCTTCTTCTTCGTCCTCTTGTGCGTCTACTTCCTCTGGCTTGACCTTTGGGAAAGGCCTTGTTTCGTTCTTCTTTCTTAGGTCGTGGAACCGTCTGATAAAGGCTGTCAGGTGCGACTTCACTGGCTTGAACCTCTGTTTCCTCTGGCCCAAACGCTGTAGGGCAAACTTGGCAGCAGCTGGCCTGTTTGCCTTTGTGCGTTCGTCGCACGCAGAGCACTCCTCTGGCAGGCCGCTCCTTGCAACCGCGCGACCAGCTTGAGCCCTGGTTGCAGAACCGAGGGGTCCGCTACCATGCAAGGTAGCACAGATGCTTCCAGTAGTACCGCACAAAAAGGCAGAATCTTTCACAAACTTGACTTTGTGAAGGCAGAATCCTTCACAAACTTGGCTTTGTGAAGGCAGAATCCTTCACAAACTGGACTTTGTGAAGGCAGAATTCTTCACAAACTTGACTTTGTGAAGGCAGGATCCTTCACAAACTTGACTTTGTGAAGCCAGAATCCTTCACAAACTGGACTTTGTGAAGGCATAATTCTTCACAAACTGGACTTTGTGAAGGCAGAATCCTTCACAAACTTGACTTTGGAAAAAGGCCAGCCTGCATCTGAAGCCTCAAGCATCTCTAGCTTTCAGCACATGCACACACACACAAACACACCAACCTGAAGCAGGCATGTTACACGAATTCTGCAGCCTTTTTTAAGCTCAAAAAACCTGTGTGCATGTAAACAAAAGTGGACCACAGAAGCAGGTCTGGGGACTCCAGTAGGAACACGGGACAAGGCCATGGCAAAGGTGGCCGGGAAAAAGGCCATGGCAAGAGTGGCTTGAAACAAAGCCAGGACATGGATCCACAAAGACAGGCTCATCATGCCAGGATCCAGGAGGCGATGGCCTCTGGTTTGA